TGATTTGGTACACACACGCTCATGCTGGTCGAGCGTGACCCTCGCGATGGTCGGGGACGTGGAGCTGCTAGCTGCGGGATCTGGAGCTGGTGTGACGGTGCACGACGGAGCTTCCCAGCGGAGAGGAAGTGTGGGGCTGGGGCTCGCGTGAGGAGAGAGTCGTGACGCGGTGGCTCCTCCTGGAGGCGACGGCGCGGGACCAGGCGATGGACCAGGCCTTGTCGGCATGGCGGTACTCGGCCATGAGTTGTTGCGCTTGCGGTGACAGAGCCTGCCACGTTCCTGGAGCCTATGTTGTGGTGCCCCCTCCTGGTCTCATGGTCGTGGGTGTTGGAGGCGGTGGCGCGAGCCGGATGGACCCGATCTGGGCCGCGCACGGACGTCTGTTGGGAGTTGGCCTGACAGCTAGATGTGCGGTTCCGGCGACCCTTGGTCGGGCATGGAGGGAACTCGATGAGTTCTCAGCCATGGGGGTGCTGGATATCGGGTTGTATGCTCCTACCTGTGCGGGTCTTGGGTGGACCAGTCGGCTACAACGGAGTGGTCAACTTGGATGGCGTGGCCCCAATCCGGTGAGCAAGTGCTGGCGATTCGGAAGAAATTCCTGCCCGTATTTGGTTGGTGCTGGCGGCGACGGTGCCGTGGGTGTCGTCTCCTTCTTGGAGGCGCCGCCAAGGTATGTGGTCATCTCCCTCGCCTGCTCTTAGGATTGGTAGCTGTCTTGGGGCGAGAGCCTAGGTTTGAAGCTGAATTGGCGTGATGGCAGCGTCCTTAACGTCGCTACTTTGTTGGAAGCATCATGGTTGAAGACACGGTCTTGAGGATTCATGTTGCGCTACTTCCGGTGCGCTGTCCAAGGTGATCTTGTAAAACAAATAATTTGGGGGACTGCTCGACACCCTAAAACGGGGTGTGGTTATCTCATTATATAGATGTACCAAGAGGTACAATACAAGGCATGTACAAGACTATGTATATACAGTCTAACACCCTCCCTCAATCTTAACTGTAGCTTGAAGTACAAAGTAAGTTAAGATTGCGCCTACAGCCTACAAACTGTGGTTGTGGAAGAGGCTTCGTGAAGATGTCAGCAAGTTGATCTTTGGAGGAGATGAACTTGATACAAAGCAGTCTCTGTGCAAAACGTTCCCGAACAAAGTGATAGTCAACCTCGATGTGTTTCGTCCTAGCATGAAACACCGGATTAGATGAAAGGTATGTAGCGCCGATGTTATCACACCACAGAACTGGAGGATGACCTGGAGAGACTCTCAGCTCCCGCAACAAAGACTGTACCCATATGATCTCAGTGGTAGCATCAGCAACAACTTTATACTCAGCTTCAGTACTGCTACGAGACACGGTGGCTTGCTTGCGTGCATTCCAGGCGATCAGGTTAGGACCAAAGAACACTGCATATCCCCCCGTGGATCGCCGATCATCAGGACTGCCAGCCCAATCCGCATCAGAGAAAGCCGAAAGTTCACAAGACGGTGCAGACTGAAGGAGCAGACCATACGAAGCAGTAGAAGAAACATAACGCATGATGCGCTTAACTGCCGAGAGATGAGTGGTACGAGGTGCATGCAGATACTGGCACACACGGTTGACTGCATAAGAGACATCAGGTCTGGTGATAGTGAGATATTGCAGACCACCACCAAGACTGCGATACTCAGTGGCGTCATTAGTGGAAAGAAGATCTCCATCAAGGGCAGACAACCGATCAATGGCAGACATCGGAGTGATAGCATGTTTGCATTGGAGCATCCCAGCACGGCCCAACAGATCCATGAAGTACTTTTTTTGACTCAAGGTTAACCCAGTAGAGGACCGTGACACCTCCAATCCAAGAAAATAATGCAGATCACCCAAATCCTTGACAGCAAATTCCTCACCTAATGCAGACACAAGGCGATCGGCAGCAGCATTGGAGGAACTAACAAGGATGATATCATCAACATACACCAAGAGATACATCGTCACCTCAGGGCGCTAAAGGAGAAACAGTGACGTGTCAGCGGTTGATGGAATAAACCCAAGAGCCCGGAGAGCAGAACCAAGACGAGCATGCCATGCACGAGGCGCCTGTTTAAGTCCATACAATGCCTTGACCAGACGACAGAGATGATGCGGACGCGTAGGATCAACAAAACCGGGTGGTTGACGCATATAAACCTCTTCCTCAAGAACTCCATGGAGGAAAGCATTCTTCACATCAAGCTGACGAAGCGACCAACCACGAGTAACGGCAAGAGACAACAGTATACGAATAGTAGTAGGCTTGATAACTGGACTGAATGTGTCTTCATAATCAAGATCGTACCTCTGCTTGAAACCCTTGGCAACCAGCCGTGCCTTGTAGCGCTCAATAGAACCATCTGCATGTCGTTTGACCTTAAACACCCACTTGGAGTCAATGATGTTGACGCCAGAGACCGGAGGAACAAGCTGCCAAGTACCATTTTTCAGCAAGGCCTGAAATTCCTGCTCCATCGCAGCACGCCAGTGAGGAATGCCCAATGCAGCCTGAAAATGACGCGGCTCTGCCGTGGGATCCGCAGCAGCATGAGCCACACATGCAGCAAGCCACGCCACCGTCCCGTCTTTGTGTTCCTTAGGGCAAAAAACACCAGACCGGCTGCGCGTGTGTGGTCGATGATGAACCACAGCGGGCGGTGCTGGCACCACGGGGCTTGCCACAGGCGACGCAGGCGTCGTGGCCGAGACGGGGCTGGAGGAGCCAGAGTCAGCAGACTCCGCACCGGGCGACGATGCCAGGACGTGGCTGCCAGACCCAGGCGACGATGTAGCCGAGGCGGGGCTGGCCGGCACAGCATCCGTGGCTGCTGGGCCGCCTGCTGATGGGCCCGACGAGGGCAGTGCCTGTAGCCTGGCGGGCGAGCCAGGCGAGCCGGGCGCTGAGCCGGGCGCTGGACCGGGCGACCCGAATGACGGGGCGGGCGACCCGGGCGCTGAGGCGGGCGACCCGGGCGCTGGAGCGGGCGAGCCGGGCAACGGGTCGGCCGAGGCGGGTGCAGCCGCGGGCACTGCCGACGCCCGCGTGGCGGCTGTGGATGCACCGGGCTGACGGGCATGACCCGCCATGCATGGGCCATGCATAGGATCAACGTGGCCATCATGAGTGTCGTGGGCGCCACTCGGTATGCATGCCCCAGGCGGAAGACCGTCGTCCAGGTCCAGGGCTTCCGTCGGTGCCTGTTCCTCAAGGAGCTCAAGACGAGCACCGCGTCCAATACCTGCAGCATTGTTAGGAAGCAACACAGGAGCATGTGCAACATCTACAAATTGATCAGGCGAAGGTGTGGTAGAAGAAACGTCCGGTAGAGGAGTGATAGAGTTGTTCGGAAGTGCACGAAAAGGGAACACATTCTCATCAAACACAACGTCACGAGAGATGTAGACACGATTGGTGAGAACATGTAGGCATTTGTACCCTTTGTCAAGGAAACTATACCCAAGAAAAACACTCTTTTTCGACCGAAACTCTAGCTTATATTTGTTATACGGACGTAAA